CCTGACATCAGGGCATACTCCTAATGAGACGACGGATGGTGTCCTGGGGTATCTCTTCCCAGATCTGGACCAGGGCATTACTGAGGTGCAACCTGGTGGCGTCGGATGGACCGAGACATAATGCCCTAGATGTGTTCTATTGGATTCAGGTCAGGCGAGCATGGGAGCCATTCAATGGTATCAATTCCTTCATCCTCAAGTAACTGGATGCATACTCTGGTAGGGTCTGAGAATGGGTCCAAGGATTTCATCCCGATACCTAATGACAGTCAAGGTGCCATTGTCAAGACTGTAGAGCAGGGGTCTCAAAACTCCAGCCCTCCAGCTGTGGTGGAACTAAAAATCCCATGAGGCATTGCAAGATTCTCACAGCCACGACTCCCGAAGAGAGATGCATCATGGGATTTTTAGTTTCACCACAGCTGGAGGGCTAGAGGTTTGAGCCCCCTGCTGTAGAGGATATGCCTCCCCAGACTATCACTGACCCACCATCAAACCGGTCATGCTGAACGATATTACAGGCAGCATAACGTTCTCCACAGCTTCTCCAGACCCTTTCACGTCTGTCACATGTGCCCAGGGTGAACCTGCTCTTATCTGTGATAAGCACAGGGCGCCAGTGGTGGACCTTCCAATTCTGGTGTTCAATGGCAAATGCCAATCGACCTCCACTGTGACGGGCAGTGAGCACAGGGCCCACTAGAGGACGTCGGGCCCTTAGGCCAGTCTCATTAAGTCTTTTTCTGATTGTTTGGTCAGAGACATTCACACCAGTGGCCTGCTGGAGGTCATTTTGTAGGGCTCTGGCAGTGCTCATCATGTTCCTCCTTGCACAAAGGAGCAGATACCTGTCTTACTGATGAGTTAAGGACCTTCTACAGCCCCATCCAGCTCTCCTAGAATAACTGCCTGTGTCCCGGAATCTCCTCCATGCTCTTGAGACTGTACTGGAAGACACAGCAAACCTTCTGGCAATGGCACGTATTGATGTGCCATCCTGGAAGAGTTGGCATGTCTGTGCAACCTCTATAGGGTCCATTGCTACCTGTAGTGACACTGACTGTAGCCAAATGCAAAAAATTGTGAAAACAGTCAGAAAAGATGAGTAGGGAAAACAACTGTCAGTGGCCTCCACCTGTTAAACCATTCCTGTTTTGCCCATCTAGTGCACCTGCTAATTTCATTAACACCAAAGCAGCTGAAACTGATTAACAACCCCCTCTGCTACTTACCTGACCTCATCAATATCCCAGGAGTTTCAATGACTTGATGCTATACTCTGATTAAAAAGTGTTCCTTTAAATTTTTGTGAGCAGTGTATTTGTTGGTGGCCAAAATTCCAAAGAAGAGATTGCTTTACCAAGGGCTAGATTAACTTCAAAGAAAACCTGTTTTGAGAAACCTGGATGCTTCCATTGCTGACCTTTCACTGAAAACACTAGATGTCTGGTAGCAATGCCTATTCTCTGATCTCAGTACATCCTGAGCCACTCTCTTGGATTAAGTGGTCACCATTCCTAACCTGCATACTAGGTCAGTATCTCAGGAGACCCTGACCATATTAGACCAGCCCGCAAGTAGCATCTGCAGTAGTCAGCGATAGAACCCCCCACCCTCCCCCACAATTATGTACAGGTGTTATGTTTAACATCCCTGCTAAATGATCTCATCTTTAGATTTATCATAATTTAACATACCTGAATCCCAAACGTTACCTTCTCTACACCTGCTGTACCTTCAGGTAAACCTATCCCCCTCCCTGCCTCTACATCCAAATGTTAACATCTTCGCTAAACTAATCTCAAGGTAACCTTAATACAAACATTAGCAACTATCACCACACACAAAAGGACACAACTCTGGCTACACTGCTTGTTGTGCCATCATGACACACTAAAATGTCTACAGCAAAAGGGGCCACACTGTATTTGCTGGTTTGTATTATGTTTGGATATGCCATAACCTGTTACTGATGCTTTAAGAAATTCTTTGGACTCCTTTTATAAATAAATGTAACCAGCTCACATGGTTCAGACCCAAAATGGATGGTGGGGAAGATGGTTGTGCCCCGCACCAGCCATAGGGTCCTCTTCCGATGCTCACATACAGATATAGTTGGGGCTTCTGCCTTATGAGCAATATGTTCCCACTTAACAAGAATCTCAAAACATCTAGGTATATATACTGCACATCACATACAGCTACCATCACACCAAAAGGGTTTCATTTTGGATAACTACTTGTTACTCACATTATACACAAATTGTGCTAAAAGCTGTCACTCATGTACACAGAGCAGAAGCCACCATTTTGTACACCAAATCAGTGTTCATACATCTATAGGAACCAGCAACATCACAAGGCACAGTGTATGGAGATTTCAGACTTCTGCCTTGTGGACATGACCACTGCACCCAAGGTTACATCCACCCTTCTGTGAGAAGTGCAGTACGGTTTTGCTGTCTTTACACGCATTGGCTACTCATCCCTAAGGAAGGTGTATTTTGCAGGAAACCTCACCAAGGATGCAGAAAGCAGTTTGTTTGTTTTCTAAATGCACAGCACCCGCAATGCATAGGAGTAAACGTACATTAAAAAAAACAATTTTCTTTAGTACTAGGCACTAGCTTACTGTGAGACATCAGAACACAGAATAAACCAAACACCAGCTGTCCAGTAATCACTATATGATTAGAAAATACATGGGGTAAAGTTACCTGAAGGGATCGGATTCGGCTGTACTTAGCAAAAAAAAGTGTTGGTGCTAATAGCAATCTGCTTGAATACAAAAAGAAAAGCATAAGCACACAAAACTGTCACACCAAACAGCAGCACTATAAAAGGGACACGTGAGGAATATCAGAGAAGACCTACACACAGTGGGATACAGCATTTAGAAAAAAGAAAAAGGTCCTCTGCTCTCCAGACACCATAGGCTGTCCCTCATGTATAATGGGTAGTAAGCAGCAAAACAGATCTGTTAGGCCATTGAAAAGTCACTTCAGATCCTACACTGTGTGTCCTTGATTCCAGTTGAATACAGCATTAAGGCACCAGAGTAGGTGTTTGCTGGAATTAACCTCTTGTACAGGGTAAGATGGGTCAAAAATTGTGCAGAATATAGCTATCCTGCTGCCAGATGGGCTACTAAAAGGGACTTCCCAAATTGGTCTATTCTGGCTAGCCCACATGCCAGTACATCAGAGATTGTTGCTCCATCTGTCTGACTTGAGTCTACATAAAAATGCAAACTGGGCTAGCATATCATTGTCTAGATGGAAGTCTTGGGCAAGAACCATATAAAAAGTCCATGAGGGCTCATTGCACAGGTCGGGCTGGCAGAGAACAGGATGAAAGTGAAGCACAGGCCGCATCTGTCCTATTGAGGTAAGAAGCTGGGGTTTAGTTCAGAACTAGGGAGAGGATTTAGTTTGTATAGCTGTCCTTTAAAAAGGTGTGGTTCATATTCCCCAACAAGCAAGGCCAAATTTACAATTCACTTCTGCAGCTGTCCTGTGAATCTATTAGCAAAATGATCGCATTAGCTTGTGTGCAGAAGTTGAGCTTACTCCTATACATTACAGTTGTCAGGAAGCCAGCTAAATGATCGTTATGTGACTGATTCAAACTGCATTGATGGCGTGCAGAAAGTTTTGTCAGAGATTGTCTTCACTGATCTGTCCCTGGTAAACAAAAATCTGATTAACTGATGCAGGCCAGTGTTTCTCAGTTCCAGTTCTGAAGGGCTCACAGGGCAGGTTTCCTTCATTTGAACAGCTTTGGCATCATGCATCTTTCAGATGTCATCTGTGCAAAGTGAAGGAAAGCCAAAGATCATGAAAACCAGAGCCAGTGATGGGGCAGTAAAGAGCCCCTGGGCAAGAACAATTTGGGGCCTGCCCATGCATTTCCTACCTGAAAACAAACACTTATTCAGTATAGTGGAGACAGAGGGTAGTATGCTTTGAACTCACTTTTAGTCCACAGTATATAACCTCAGTAAGAGCATAAACACTTTCTGAACTCAAAAGGTGGGCAAATTAATATGGATTTCAAGAACCAAGTCTCGCCAGAATCCAGGAGCCAACAGAATTTTATTTTAGTAGCCAGCTCCATTGACAACTAGAGAAAACCTCAAATATTAAGTGCCATCTGTAACTTTTAAGGAGCTTTGACTACCTGGCTCCTTGGATTTGTCCAGCCCTGCCTTAACCGCTACCCCAAATAATTTCAAGAGAGATGTATGACTTAGAAGCAGCCAAAGTAAAGGAGGTGCTTGTTGTCCAACATCACCTATACATTATAAACCAGGAGAATGGTCCTGGCATCATGTAGATTGCCTCCCAGCTATTGCCAGACCCACAACTCATGTAATCTGGACCATAAATCCCACAAAGCCCCTGTGAAGCTGCGTAGTCTCCACAAATGATGTCTGCCCTGAACCAGTTCTGAGAAACACCAACTCTGCAAATATATCACTGATGTTTTCCAGCATAATGTCTAATCTGTTTACATCAATAAGAGGATAGATATAAATGAATCTTTGAAATGACCATTTAAGGCACATCAGACATTTCACAAAAGCCGATATATTGTTATTACATGGTAACACATTTTCTTGTAAAAAGAGAGATGATGTATGTTTCACATTGATCTGGGGGCACTCATACTATTACACTGCTATCACATTGTTCTGTGTGACTTAATTGGTTAAAAATAGCAGATCTCTTGTGTTGCTCGGTCCATACATTTGCTAAGAGAACAGGTTATATTGCTGGGTGGTAAAAACAATAAATTTCCATATTGTTGTAGGAAAGTCATCCTATGGCTCCTCTGAGCTTTTTGAACTCATTATATACTCTGTACCATTGTAAGAGGGGGGTAGCCCCCGTGATAATATCTGTGCCCCAGTATCAATGCACTGAACCCTGGAAAAGATTTTGCTGGAAGATGTGGGCTTACTTATGGAACTGGAGCAAAGGCAAAATATGGCTGAGGCCAAAAGCAAGCACACAACCAGGATTTACCTTTGGTTCTGACCACAGCAGTGGATGTGTTTGGCTGCTATGGGCAACAACTCCAGTTTTCATACATCAGCCCGGTAGTATGCCCCGGTGGAAATCTGCCTTCAAATGATGCTGATTAAGGATACTGAAAGGCACGACTACTATCTGCAAATTATTTGCTTAAGCGGGCCTTGGGCGGTAATATTTTAGTGTAGTGACACCCCCTGAGTAAAGGCACCACTCCAGCCATGTTGTTAGTGAGCTGGATGGCTCAGTAAGTACACCCTGAACAATTGCTTTACAACCCTGTGCTGGAGGTATCCCTTTATCAGCTGGCCATGAGTAAGGACACTGGCACATATTGTGCTACACCACCCTCATATGTTTAATCTCGGCACCAACATATAAAGCATAAATTCTTTTAAGGGATAATCCCGGATTTCACGCTATATTCAAATACGTCCACACACCAAACACCTCTGTAAAAGGTCAGACTCATTTAAGGACGGTATGTTTTGATGACATCCTTTATCACCCTTCGGCAGATGGGGCAACAGGCATTGACCTGTCTCTTCAGTTTCATTCCACAACTACTACACAGACACATGTGACCACAGGTGTAGATGACCGTTTCAACTTCATTGTCGAAGCAAACTGCACATTCTCCATCTTTACTGCCTTGAGGTTCTGGTGCAAACACAGGTGACACAGGAGGGCTTAGCGGTGAACTAGGAGCGGTGACTGTAATATAAAAAGAAACAATGTTTTGAGGGACTGACAAATACAGAAGACCATAACATAAATATACTGTTATCCATGTTTGATAAGCCTGTTATCAAGAACTGTTCCTCTAGAGAAAGGCATAAAGGTTCTAACATCCTAATGATCCCTTAATACACACCAATAGTGATGTGCAGGGGCTTTGTGTGAACCCAAGCCTCCACAAAACTGTCACTGACTCACCTCCCTCCAGGTTCAATAAGTTCCCCACCCCACAGCTACACGTATAAGGCCTCATTCATACTGCACTAACTCGGGGCGTACATGTCTGTGCGGGACGAGTTAGCGGCACACTACACTAACTTGAGGCATACTCACAGGATGGAGCTGGTCTGCATCCGAGCACAGACCTTGGACCTACACGGCTGTGCAGTTCAGGTGTGTGTATGACAGCATACAGCTGCATCCTCCCATAAGGAAGAACAGGCTGCTACATGCAACACCTGTCCCTCCCAGGAACAGCCCAATACGGGCGTGTTTACGCCCCAGTTAGCACAGTGTGAATGAGGCCTAAAAGGGGTGAGGAATGCCCCTGCCACAACTAATTGGGCCAGGGGTGATGGGAGAGTCCGATAGGGGGTTCACACCAAGCCCCCGTAGATCACTACTCGCCAAGTATGAGGCAGTCTACCAGCATGAAGAGCAAAAGGATCCAGAAATCCATGGATTGTATGCTACTAGCAATCGTAAACCCTGCTTTATGCATTTGTGGCTGTTCTATGGTAAGAAGGGGGCAGACTATAGTGTCATAACATCAGCACAATTATATGTCGGATGCTTCATACCCGTTTTGGACTTTAGCTCAGCTCTCTCAGCAATATCTATGTAATGCAATTCTTCAGAGACTCACATTAGTGTGAAGATATGTGAAGTGAAGACACCTTGCGGTGCCAGCACATACCTGCAGTAGTATCTAATACTCTGCTGAATGTAGGGCCAGTCTCTATTGGCCAGCGAGGCTGCATAAAGTTAAGATACCGACATATTCAAGATCATTTGAAGCTAAAGAGAACATATTCTGGTTTGCAATGCTGGAAAGGCTCTCGCAAATTTTTAATAAAAATACTTTAACATGTAATTAGGTAGATCAATCCCCAAACACCTCATTGTTCTTCCATCAATAATACTGGCACACGCGATGGACCACTGCCTGGGTGAAATAAGATGGTGATAAGTGACTGTATACTATATACATTTCATACATACCCAAAGAGGACTCTGAGGCTGAAGAGGAACGGTTCACACTGAAGGCCATATCGGAGTCACTGTCATACTGGGAGCCGCTAGGGGAACCAGATGGGGAGAGAACATTGGACTGTACCGTGCCTGGCGAGAAGAAGACAATATGAATGTCACATTACTATGAATGGAACAACATGAAACACATTTTTCTGACGGCTTCATTTTGTAGCCAAGTCAGAATACAGAAGTAAAACTCTGGCTTTGTTTAAATTAAAAATATGTCTGATTACTACACATGTTGGATTTTAAACAAAGCGACTTTTTCACATCCTCAGAGGCTTCTGCTCTGAAATAATACAAATAGCGTCCTATGACCTGCTGAAATGTCTCCTATTGAGCCAAATGGAAGGATGCGGTCAGTGCAGATTAGAAAGACAGATTAGAAAGTTCAGACCCTAAAGGCCATCTCCGGGCAAACAAAAAAAACTGCCCTTGCAGTGTGGCTACCCCCCTACTACAAGGGTTAAGTGCTTGTGTATGCCTGATCCCTGCTCCAGGCTACAAGACACATCTCCGCAGCCTCTTCTACTCTTCGCTCTGGTGGTCTAAGGACCGCCAACGTCATCATATATAATGAAGGTTCCACAGATCTACATTAGGGTTGAGCATGCTGAGAGACATTCCACCAGCTGGAGCAGATCTACATTAGACTTGAGGATGCCAAGGGATATTCCGGCAGCTGGAAAGAGGTGAGCGATCACCGTCGCAGAAGTGGTGTCTCCAGTCCCACAGGCATAACTCTCGAGTCCTCTAGTAAATGTGTTGGTTAGAAATAACAGTTACATAGCGAAAAAAATGATTTTTTGCATACTTTGTCAGTGATATATTGGGGCAAATATCTGCAGCTGTACAAACACTGTCATGTAGCAGAATGGCAGAACTCAAAGATCATACACATTAGTGATCTATTGCTACCCTATTAGGGGCAATAGATCACTACAGAGACCCGTTACTGCAGAGGAAGACCAGGCAGAGCCGACTATAAAATTTGTCAGGGGCACAAAGACACCCCAGAAAAAGAATGGACAGAACTAGGAGCACAGCCATTGCTGGTACATGTTGCCAAATTGGACAAAGGTTCTGCTTTAGCCTGGAGCTCAACACCTGCTGGAAGAAAGTGGGACATATGACATCGCTCTGTATGACCAATTATGTATCCAATTAAACATAAATGGCTGAAATGTTATTTTTTTACTACTAAATCATTTTAACATTCCCTTTAAAAAAAAAAAAAAGGGCAAATAATTTTCCCACATAATATATTCAGTCTGTGTGCATTCCTGAAATGGAATATGCTGGACACACACCCGGCTGCACTGACATCATGGCAGTTCCCACACTATCTCTAAACCACAAGTCTCCTCTACACGGCTGTAGGAGAGCACGTCTGTCAGACAATGTTCAGCTAACACACTGCAACATCCCACACATAAAAATCCCTGTCAAGGCAGGATGCTAGACCAAACACGGAGCACGGGAACATGATTAGGGTCTTGAGAAAATCGCCTCATCTCAGGCAGGAAACAAATTCCTGCTGTGTGCTGCCCATTTCACCCCGACATACTGAGGGGGATTTATCAAAATTGGAGCAGAGAAAATCTGGAGCAGATGTACATGGCAACCAATCAGCTTCTCCCTTTCATTTTTAAATCTTGACTGAACAAACTGAAGGAAGAAGCAGATTGGTTGCCATGGGCAACTGCTCCAGTTTTGATCAATACCCCTCACTGTGTCTTCATATACTGCAATGACATGCATGTCTGAGGACACAACAAATCTGTATATAGAATACTAGGAAAAGGTCTATTTTGGTAAGAGCTGATGCAATCTGCAATCACTCCCTGGACGGTCTGATAAATGAAATAGATGCTGTGAAAAGAAAATCTACCAATATAGAAGAGTGGACTATTTTATGAAAACTGGAAGAAGGGAGCAGTGCCCAAAACAATCAGTGCAATGGTGACTTTTATCTTTGAACCTATAATAGAAAATGTAGTGATGACATTTATTCCAGGAAAGGTAAGACTATCAGCCCTTCCTTTACATTTGATTCACCCCAACAAAGCTTTATTTCATGCTAAGCTCCCCCTCCTAGCGTCTGGGTGAATCTACCCTAAGGGCAAGAAGTCACTCATTATTTCACATTTTGCCTGAATTGTTTTTTTTTAATTAACATAATGCAGAGCACATGATGGAGCCTGCAATGTCCTATGGAACTTTTACTGCATTATGCACTCCTGAATAGGACAACCCTGTCATGAGCTTTTAAGGGTGTGTAGAATCAACAGGATTCAAAATCCAATAAGTCCCATCGCACTCCTGACCGGAAAAAAAAACAAAAAAAAAACGTACAGGGTGGGTGCTAGAGTAACAGCAGATGCCTCCGCAGATAACTTGAAACCAACGAAAAAGCCACTCGCACTCCAATATGATGTCCAGTCAATCTCTTTGTTGACTAAAGTGGTATGACATCTTCATGCAAGATGTCATACCACTTTAGTCAATAAAGAGATTGACTGGACATCATATTGCAGAATCAACAGGGCTTCTCTTGCTTTAGAGTCCCAAAGCACGCTAAGTGGAAAACACATTGATAAGAGCGCTGTGCTTTAGAAATGTGTCACATTTAAATGGGAAATGGTGGTTTATTTTCTAAAAGCAGTGGTACAGCCAGTTAGGTCATACCATGGTTTTATAAATCGGCCACTATTGTATAGTGATAAAATAAAGCACCTGACAGCAGCTCACATTTCCCACCAACAAAATAGAGAATGCATAATGATGTACATCCAACGAAAGCTAATATAGAAGTCATCTGTTGATGTTGGGGCAGCCACTTATATGCTGGTCTCCTCTCTGGGAAATGTACAAATCACATCTTTATAGCAAGCAATGTGGTCTCCAGCCCCAGTTTTCATGCCCTATGTTTGCCTCCATGTATTCTTATATAGAAGCTAGTACCAGGAAGGTGACATCATTGCAGGTTATAAAGCTCCTCTTCCCTGTGCTTGTTAATATTTACCTGGATCACCACCCTGCTGAAATGCTGAACCAAGAAATAAGTGATACCTGTCTGGCAAATGTGCAAATCAAATGATTTCCTGTACAGAATGAAATATCCTTAGGCGGGTAAAAAGTAAACATAGAATGTAAACTGTATTAAGCCATTTTCCAAGAGTTCTGCTTTAATCCCATAACAATTCCAATAACGAGTCTCATTGTTGGTCAACCGACTCATGCTAAATTGCCTCTACTGCCCATAACAAATTATTTGTAATTTCCATAAAGAAGATTCAATAAGCAGGAAAGCATCAGCCAAGGAAATGCCTGAGGAAAAGCATACACCAGCAGGCTAACGTGTTCTGCTGTTTATCTACTCACCCATAATTCTCAGCTGATTGACAATCCCGTGGATGGAAAAGAATACCCAAAGTGGCTGTGAGGAGTCCACACACATCAGCATGCCACGATTGTTTCCGTTAATGCCATGGAGGAGCTCCCCGCTGGGCGTAAATGAAAAGCTATGGATATCCCCATTGCCCATTGTGAACAAGCCTTGGTGCACAACCCAGTACTCCTTTCTGTCCAATAGGTACTCTGGGTTAGATGGCAGATCGTATGTCCGTAATGTGCTTGGATCGCAGGAGGTGATGCCAAATGACAAGGAGCCATAATAAGGCAGTGGCAGCTGACCCGTCTCCACGAACAGTGTCTCGCCGTTGTGCACTGGCCGCTCAGTAAACACTATCGTCCTGTTGCTCTCCTGCCAGTTAGTATATGCCACTGTTCGGTCTGGTGACAGGGTGATGTCAGCACCACGGGTAAGATGAAAATGAAGCTCCGTGTCCAATATGGTGGGCATGGCCTGTGAACGCTGCCGCCTGTTCGGACAACAAGGGATGGCATGGTTATCTGTCTGCGGAGGCATTCTGCTTAAGTTCAAGTTTGCAATTTTGGCCACCACTTGATTATTCTCCAGTTCATTATTGTTGAAGTTAGCAGAGTCATGGCTACTTTGGGGCAGACAGGTGCTCAGTCGGGGACTGCTCAGTCGTCCTGGAGGCATGGTCTCTGCAAATGTGCTATCTGTGGGGGGCAAATGAAACAGAATAATTAGAAGGGACATAACTATATATAATACATCACTAAGAGGAGCACATATTGAAATATTGATTTCCCCAAGTGGAAATGCTATAAGAAGAGATGCAACAGGTACAGAGCAATACAACCATAACTATTCCTATACGTGTTCTTCTATTCATCAAAATACAATCTAGAAATCTTTGGATTAGGCCTTATCTCCATTTACTAAACAAACTCTTGGACAGAAGCCATTATTGGCTGAAGACATTCATGAGAATGCAGCTGGAGCAAATAACCAGGACTGGGTAAGATTTAAATATTAATCAAGGAATACCTCATGTATATTTTTGGGGATGGCAAAATGCCAGCTTCTATTACATGTAAATACAGAATGGATATTAGCTCAGGCCTCAAACTCGATCCTGCAGCCTATCATGTGGGAACACATATTCCTGGCATGCTTGGCCTACAACCTGTGACTTTCCATTTGGAGCTGAATGATGACTTCCAGCATGCTGAGGGGCATTCTACGCGGAAAGCCGAGCACCAGCTGGAGAGCTGCTTATTTGCCTGCTTCTGGCTTCGAGTGTTAGTCGTCTCAGCCAGGGTCAAAAAACACAATACGAACTCCCATTCATCGTATTGTGATAAATGTGTGGGTGGCAGACGCAATGCAGCTGCCTGCTGTCACAGAATAAAGTTGGGAAACCTTCTTTCAGGTCTTATTTTTATTGTTTAGAACAGATTGGAGTCAAAATATGACGACATTTTAAACACTCCCGGGAATATAACTTCACACTGTGACACTGGTCTATCAACTACTGGGGTTGGACAATCAAAAATGAATACTGTAGTAGATGGTGTGTGTGTGTGTGTGTGTCTATTGCCCATATGACATCTACAGTACAGAACTGTGCTTTTAGGTCCCATTCAGACCGGTGCATTATGGCAAACTGCTGATTTTTACCTCAATAAACAGCAATGCATAAAATGGACTGCAGTCACATTCATTTTAAATAGCACCCCAATGTACCTTAGCTGCCCCCTAACACATGTGCATTACAGTGCACCAAACAGATGTGGCCGATCGTGGTGCCCTGTTTTATTGTGCTGTGTCACCAGCTCGTTTTAAACTGCAACCGTGTGAATCTGGTCTCATCACCACACAACCTCTCTTCAGTCTTTAAAGCCACACCACACACACCTTTGCCTGACACATAAAAGGTGTTCCCATACATATCAGAGACAGAAGAAAAATTCTGGGAACATCATTTGGGTTTAACTCTAAAGCAGAGGAAGCTAAACGTAAAAAATAAAGCACTGCAAGACCCTGACAGCCACAGGCCGGACTCCCAGAAGCAGATGCATGATAGCATTTGTAGTTTCACCACAGCTGGGGGGGAGGCGATTGCCTACCCTGCGTTATAGGCTTGCCTTTGGTGATAACTGTCAAGGGTTTCAGTAAGCTTATTTTAGCTCTCAACCGATCTTTCAAGCCCCCAAATGTCCGCTAACCTAGCTGATTCGGGTGCCTATATTTACGTGCATCTCTAATACGATGACCTGATTTTTTTGGGGTACTGAATTTGTCACCGTTAGACACACACAATTTTTTACCTGGGCATGTTGGGTATCTCTCTACTCATCATAAACTCCTCTTTTGTATCTTACAAACAAATTGTATTTTATTGTGTTTTGGGGCACTAAAATGAACAAGTGCATTTTTCACTAAATTTTTGGGTTTGATAAAGAGTTGCACCAATATCGTGCAACATAAAAATTTACAACTGCCACCATTTTATTCTACAGGGTGCTGGCTTTCAGAAAATATATAATGTTTGGGGGTTTTAAGTAATTTTCAGGCCTAAAATGTGGATTACATCATGTGTGCAAAAAAACAAAAGGCCTTGGCAGCGAAAGGGTCCTTATGGGGTTCAATAGATCCTTGTTATTCAGTTGGGCTTCAGGCTATTGAGTACAGTAAAGTAATGGGCTTTGTCAACAGACCAGCTAAGACTAGGCAAGTAAACATATGAAATGAGCATAGGGTGCCACCTGCTGGCTGTCACATGCAATGCTTCATAGTTACCAAAATGAAAAAGTACAGGCAGTGCCCGGGTTTCGAGCCAGATATGGACTGTAGGTTTGTTTTTAAGTTGAATTTGTATGTAAGTTGGAACAGGCAAATTTGTTTTTGTTTTGGATCGCACAGGGAAGAGTTTACCCCCTGTAAAGTTTATTTTGCTATGTGTGCCCCTGTTCAGACGATTTCACCTCCCTTTCTATGACTGTGATAATTGGATTTTGAAAATGTTGGGTTGTCGTGGAAACAAGGATTGGTGATGAAGCTTCAGCGGAGACACCTTTTTCCCATGATAACTCTTACAGGAGTGAATTTCCCTTCCTAGGGTTAGATTTCCTCTCACTTCCTGTTGTCTCAAGGACAAGTGATATTAAATCTTTCTAATGAGGTTACAGACAGCAGTTAAAACCTCACAGTGACTGTGAAAAAGAGGTGGGCACATCTCACAAGAGCCAACTTCCTGTAATGTACGTACAGTACTACAAACCAGACCCAAAAATGTGGGCACTGCTCGTCAGCACGTCCGCAGTAGCATTACAACTACCCATGCTGTACAGTAATAGCCTCTGAGCCTCCGTTTGTAAGTAGGAGTCGTACGCAAGTCGGATGTATGTAACTTGGGGACTGCCTGTACTTAAATGTTTTTTTTTTGTAAATTGATTATATTACAGAAAATATAAAATGATGTACATTCACTTTAAGAAAACGAATGCTCATAACATGCCTGGGATCCTTTTCACTTTTATTGGTTAATTCCCATCTTCATAAAGGTTTAATGAGAATTCAGGGTGCAGAAAAACTTGTATAGGATTATTATTACATAGCCACGTACAGAAACCGATCACTTTTATCTTGCTTAAACTCCCAGGCAGGGTCTGTAAATAAACATTCTACAAACTCTAATGGCATGAAACACCATAAATAGAGACCACGTAATAGGCTGCTTGGTAGCACCAGTTTTGTTTTATGTTCCTTTTTTAAAATTAAAGCAAGAATAATGGATTTTTGATAAATGAACGCGAATAATAATGTGGTTTGGTAACTGCGACGCATCCTACCAATTCATGTGAAGAGTGAATTTTATACTAGGCCCACTTTAAAGCCTTTTAAAGGCAAGCCATTGCTTGGTGTTTACAAAACTCTTCTCATGCGAGAATTCAGAGAAAGGAAAATGTTTGAGGAGATCAGCGACTTCAAACTAATAATAATATCACAAAACAACAAAGTGTATGGGATTACAGTGCGCTGCCATTAAAATGCGCCTCTCCATCCCAGCGAGTGAGTGTACGCAGAAATTCTTCTGTGTGAATAAACAGGGATGTCACAGCAGCTGTCGTGCCGTGTTTTATATCCTGTGAAAGATCTCCCAAATCCTGTGAACTTTGGCGTGCAAAGCTCTGTTCTTTATCAATGTCGTCTTTTAAATACACCGCACTTTTGTTAACCTTCCCTAAACCTGCAAGGAAAGAAATATGGAAGCTGCTATGGCTGGGGTTTTTTACTGTTTAAGGGTGCTGGCTCCAGAGCCGTCACTCTGACCCTGGCTCATCTAACTAGTGAATCACTGACCTGGAATAAGTGTAATGCCAGACATCTTATCAGCCATTCTACATACTTGTCCCATGTAAGGGATCCACTGGGCAGTGAAGCAAGGATCAGGAGGACAGCCCTGCAGCTTGCAATTTACCTTGTAGAGTGAAGAACACCAATTTTAAAAGGAAATAGGAGATTTTCTGGTTGTGACTGATTTCAATATGAATGAGCCAGTGTTGGAACAATCGGCAAAACTTACTCTGGATTTCATTTTTTGCATTAGTCTTTTTGCTTGTTGTAAAGCAAGTCAAAACAGAACAGCCAGGTAACTAGCATTCTCAGAAGGAGAGTTCAGCAATAGCAGTCGGATCCCATTACAGCATTGCAGTGACGTGCAGTACTACACTATGCATGCATTCATACGTTGGGGTGCCATTAATTCTGAATGGCACCCTATTGCACCTGCACTGTGTGCGGTATTTCTGAGAAAGGGAAAGGCGCAGGTTTGGCAGTGCTGGGGTGACCTGGCAGCCAATTTACTACGAATGGGCTTCATAAACAACACTTGTTAATGTGTGTGGATTTTGGTGAATCTGCATCCACTACTAACCTACACATCAAGCCTGGACTGGCCAAGTGCCAGTTTTGGCACCAACTATTAAGATCTCACCAGAGTAATACTGGGTTGATGAGGCATCATCAGTGCACTTTAAAAAGAAACAGTGACTACCTGTAAATTTGAGTTTTTCACTTGGCCCCTGGTAATATACTATCGGGTCAATTCACAATGCTTTATTACAAGGATAAGGATCTTGGTTTTAGCTATGTGACTGTAATTTTTAAGTCTCATTGGACTAAGCTGAAACAAAAACAAAAAAAGTGAAGTAATGATCCTTCTTCTGGCGTGTTGACTTTGTGATTTATTCCCAATGTCAGCATGCTGCAAGTATCTAAATATTATCGATGCACTTAGATGAAGTAATTGGGTATATGCATACAGGCAGGACATACACGGCATTGTAACACTGACAACAAAGCCCCCATTGGTTTCCAGTGGGGGTCCCTGGTCCGGGTCACGATCTGCAAGGAGTTTGCATGTTCTCCCTGTGCCTGCGTGGGTTTCCTCCGGGTACTCCGGTTTTCTTCCCAAACTCCAAAGAAATGCTGGAAGGTTAATTGGCTCCTGTCTAAATCAGGTATGTATGTATGTATGTATGTATGTAGGTATGCATGTATGTATGTATGTAGGTATGTATGTAGGTATGTATGTAGGTATGTATGTAGGTATGTATGTATGTACGTATGCATGCGAGATAGGGACCTTAGATTATAAGCTCCTTGAGGGCAGGGACTGATGTGAATGTGCGACTATGTAAAGTGATGCATAAATTGGCAGTGCTATATAAATACCTGTAATAAATAAATATATTACAGCTGTGATAGAGCAATTTGCCAAACTCTTTACATGCAGTGAAATGAAAATCAGGACCAGTTCATAAATGGAATATCTTCATCCTGCACATTAGAGCATATGAAACCAGTATGGAAAGCCCCATAGAAGGTCAACACACATTTGTCTTGAAGAAAACTCTGAACTCTGTCATGTCAAATATACTGATTGAATTTCTCTGCGGCAGCCATGTACTGGGTGCTTGACATGACATGTCACAGGTCAATGGTCATTTGTCACAGAGCACCATATGGCCACAAATGTCAACCTGCAGACAGGAGGAGGCCAGGGACATGTTACCATAAGAGGCAATCCAGATGAGCTAATGCTGGTGCAGGAATACATGACAGCAGTCTAGGAATGTCTCTAACCTTCTGTAATCTTAATGACAGCACCGCCAGCCTCTAGGAGGCCCAAACTGCCTGCAAACGGCAATAAAGACACCAGGGCTAGGTGTGCGATTAGGCTTTTTCACCTGATCCCTAAAGACAATGCAACGCTCCAGTGAGAAATCACACAGATAGCACCAGCGGGTTTACTGTGTCTATTTTCAGTACCTTGCGTGGATGTCTGTGAAATATAAAACCGTAAATCTCTAGACAACGGTTTTCCGTGACTCTAACTCAGCAAGCCATAGACAAAAGATGGAAAATACTGTAAAAAAAACCATTGGGCTTTGTGCGACATTTTGAACTGTTTAGAGTATCGGTCTAGTGAAGAACAGAAGCAATATACACAACAAAGAATTTGTCGTCATTCCAAATACCATTCAAAAGGTCACAAGGGCTGTAGAAAGTAAAAGCGCTTTTGTGGTATGTTCACCTCAATATAAAGCATTAAAAAAAGGGTTCTTTTGCTTGGTGCTGTATTTGTCAAGTGGGATATTTAAGAAGAGAAATGGCTGCCCATTTTAAAAATGGAACAATAGTACATGTACAGCTGATCAGATGAAGGTTAGGTCTGTGAACTATGTGAGGGTCTTCAAACACCCCGCACATGACAGTTCAACCACAGCTGTGCCTCTGTTCATTCTGGGAACAGCTGACCAGGCAACTGTGAGGGGTGCAAGCTTCAAAGGAAATAGCGTCAAGGATTGAATACATCATTCCAAGAAGCCTCTTGATTAATGAGACTTACTGGGAATATTGCTATTGGTTGCCCGTTTTTCTATACAGCATTTAGAAGGACAATGCATGCTAAAATTCAAAAGAATATTCTTCACAAAAAAATATGAATACAGTTAAAAAAAAACAACAGAGCCAACTTGACAATACCAAGAGCAATAGTGTGGTGGAATATAAAAATCTAAGAGGAACGTAAAGCCTAATTTTTTTAGTTTAAAAGGGGGCAATAGGATTGGAACCTCTGTCTGTTTTTGACTATGCCTTTAGGGGACCCCCCCACTTCGTTCAAGAAGCTCCCTTAATTTTCCATCCAGCTCCTTTGGTATTTTTTCATGACTGTGGATGAAAATAATCAATTTGACGGTTGACCCCATTAACTATGAGAAAAGAGAATGTTCCAAAAATGAATGTACTACTGGTATATAGCTGGCTTCAGAATACTTGCCCACATGAGTTTACATATTTAAAAAAACTGACAGGTTCTAATTCTTACCAATTCTATCCAAAATGTAATATTTTGTCTGGAGTTCCTTTAAAATCAGCTTTAAATAGCGTACCAAGTCTAATATGTTGCTGAAGATTGTTTTCCAATAAGGCAGTAATTCCATATATAGGAGCAGATGCATTAAAGAAAACTTCTAATTGACTGTTAAAGGCCAGGAATGAATTCAACTTTCACTGAATGGATAGTAGTATTGTTATTTCATTGGTTGTTATAGGTTATTGCACTTTGAACATATACTACCACTGCTTTTGCACTGCCTTAATTGAACCAGAATGTCTCATTGATGAAGTCCAACATACCCAGATCAAAGCTGAACTGCATCAGCCACTTGTCTAAATGAGGTAATTTGTTGATCTGTTATTTTAATGGTTCTAAGTTTCCAAGATCTTAAAAAGCGAATTGGAACACTCCTGCGTGTAGTGATAAGAATGGTAGCTGGAGTTTCTCGTACAGGGTCAAGTGATGGACTTTCTAAAAACTCTGTCCGATAACAGTGGAATGCAGAGCAAGAGGCCCTAAAGAGTCTCTTATTGGACATACAAGATATACAGTATGCAGGACCATTGATGGCTACAAGTGAGCAACTCAATATACAGCAGGCCTGTGCTAAGAGCACATCGCACAAGATAAAAGACAAATTCCCTTTTGCTATAAACATCCCATTACTAAAGTAAACAATTCACTCACGGGTCTTAATCAAAGAAGCAGATTCAGGATCTCTTAAAATAGTACTCAATCTTTGATCAACCATCAATAAGTAAACGTCATTCTCTAGGAATGATGTGTGCAACCTGCTGGTCAGAATGCCAAATAGAGTCACATGATTACTAAATATAATTTTCCCTTTCACACATTCTTTTGAGAAGCACTGGATTTGGGGCCCAGCATAGCAGCATACTTACATTTTGCTTTGTTACCCAATTTAAAAACTGCTGAGCCCTTATTCATTATAAAAGGCAGAAAAACAACCAGAATATGTCTGGAAATGTGTGGATCATTATATAAAATTAATCAAATATTATAAGTCATATAAGATATCTGGGATTTTCAAGAACTAGGATGTATGAACCTTATTCTGTAAGGCCAAACTGCCCCAGGAAAAGCAACTGGAATTGCACACATGTAAAAGGCTGAAATTCCTCCTAATGAAACCAAAAACAGTAATTAGCAGTACAGCTGAATTCAAAATATATATCTAAAGCCAAAAATTGGATAGTGATGAGGTTAGAATCCTTGTCATGTTCTTATTACTGTTTGTACCCCCACTGGGGAGATTCACCCAGTCACCACTATCACCAAAGTGAAGTAAAAGGCTATAATTCTGAGTTGACATTAGATAAAGAGAAATCACTAAAACTGGTTCACTTCTATGCACACAATTTAAGAATGTGCAAGATTCATCAAATCTTCCTTTGTAGATTCTATACCTACCCTTTAAACAAAATAATTAAAACATTAATATATAAAAGAAAACTGTACCTAGTATCTGTACTTCTTGGGTAATGCCATAGACATCAATCAAGGCCCAGAGAGGGCTAGAGACTTTAACTCCACAATGAAATAATATGGGCTCCTCATCATTGATGCTGTAAAAAATTCTTCCATGACGGTCAACCCAAAATGCTAAAATATTGTCCCTCTGTGCAAATCTCTCTGGTAAAGCTTTTGCCCAGTATCCAGGACGGGTAACCAGATCAGGGCATGCATACTTGGGTATGTCTTCGGGCTTCATTTGTGCCGGGTCATGAATAGTGAATCCAAAGCGTAGAGCTCCACTCCAGCCATGGTGGACGGACACCAGCTTCAAACGGACCTTTTCATACAGGTGGATGGGACGACTAGTAAAAGTAATTCCATTACAAAAGCTATTACGCCGGATGGCTTTTCTTCCATGAGTATCAAGTCGGATATTCTTCCCTTTAGTTTGGCAATGAAACCGTGGAGACTCAGTTCGGGAGAGGACAAGTCTTCTATCCTGGCCACAGTGGAGAAATGTGTAGCATTGTCTATTGGCCACTGGACGGCTGTGATGGCTTGTGTCTGCAGAGTGGGGGAAAAAAATGATAAAATATCAGTCTTGTATGACATGAAATCTGTGCAACCTTCATAAAAAAAAAAAAATCCAATGACAAAGCTCCCCACAAGGAGAAGAAACCTGTCATCATGCTTTCACACCCCAAACGGCCCCCTCGGTAAGCTCTCCTTGTACTCGCTCAAACATTTCAGCAACATATAGAAGGAATAAAGGCCGCACACCTGATCCATCCATTAAAAGAAGGGATGAACCGATGCAATTTTTTCAGTATCGATATTTATATTTCGATACTCGCAAATACCGGTACTTCTGCTAGAATAGAGCCGGCTTCCCAAGCAATCAGAAAGCTGGGCGGTGTCTCATTACCCGCCGCCCGGCTTCTTGATTACCTGGGAAGCCGGCTCCAGGAGGCGGGTCATTACCCAGCGTCCGGCTTCCCGATTGGCTGGCTCCATGCTGATTGGCCCAGAAGCCGGCTTTTGTTCCTTAGCGGCACTGCCGGTCACAGGAATTCTCCCTCTGACCGGAAGTTCTGGTATTGGGGAAGGTATTGGAGCATTTAGGAGAGTTCTCGCTACAGTACTCGGTATCTGCACCAATACTAGTATCAGTATCGATGCAACCTTAATTAACAGTCTAGTTATTGTTCAAAAAGTTACAAAAACACATCCCGCCAAGTCCTTCAACTCTGTATGATGAAGCACTGTTTAAGGGTAAAATGCATAAATTAACCTATGTGATTTAGTCCTTACAAGGGTGAACTTTTTGAATAAGACTACTAATCTCTATGTATTATTATTCTCTGAATCAGGTGTGCGGCCATTACTTTTTTGATCTGTTGTTACTTGGTAGTGGGAACAAGCAACAGCGGATAAGTGTGTGGTTGACCAACTTGCTGCCATGGTTGATGGCAGATGCGACCCCCTCACTCCTTTTCCAATGACATTATGTCTATATAGATACAGTGCAGGGAGCACTGATTTAATCAATGGTAAGCGGGTTGTTATTTCAACACCTAATGCAGTCTAATCAAAATATGTATTCCGATTGTGTGCTATGGGTTATTACATTTTACATTGTACCTTTTTCCCCACACATCTTTTATAAGCAATAAACGTTGGAATACTAGATGTCACTTCATATGTTAAAAAAATGTCCCCGAGTTATACACAATTCACATGAAGCCATTCTCATCAGGTCCCAACTCAGCTCAAAATTGAATGACCATACTACAGTTACTAGAAAAAACAACACATTTCAGGAGAGAAATACAAAAATTGCCATTGCTAGGCTACTTTGGAAAAGGTAACAAGAACTTCATAATGAGCTCAGCAATGGCAGTCTATGGATTTCTGGCTGGGCAGATATCCTTTAACTACCAGTTCGTGTTTTGGGAGAAAATGGACTGCAGAAAAATTCTGGAGCATGCAAAAAAAGTCAGGCGAACATGGTGGCAATTAACGCCAGGACACCAGCACTGAAAGGTAAGAGTGCTACTCATAAAAGCAACTGCTCAGTGAATAGTACACAACTACCAGTCAAAAGCACACCAGTACAAGACAAGGAGCACTCCAATAGCATCTGTTAATATATTTCAGTCATTAGTAAACAATGGCATTCCCCCCTGCAAGCTGCTGCAGCCATGCACTACAACACGTAGAATGAGACATGACGGCTTGTCGTCTACTGTATACTGAATGGAAAAGATAAAACCTGAAAAGGAGGAAATAGTCCCCACGGAGGATAAACGGTTTGGAAACCTGCACACCTTCCTGCCCATCTACCCAAAAGATCAGAGCAGTTGTTGCGCAGTGGAAATATGCAGTAACCATTTCCTTTATTATAACATGAATTTGTTTCCGATCACAGGGCCCAGTGTTTGCCTTGAATGCAGAAGACGACAGGTAACGTAAATTCTTCCCATTGGAAGTTATGTGCTGTTCCCCAGCCTTTCCTTCCTTCCTGGGGCCTTTGTGTTGGAAATGTTTAACCCCTTCCTCTCCCTGTCATCTGGGTTACAAGATACAATGGGGACAGTAGAAGTTAACAGGCCATGCATAGGAATATGGATGGATTGAGATTAGCGGATTCCAGCTTGCATGACATCCATAAAAACACATTGAAGGGGATTTACTAAAACCGGAGCAGACAAAATGTAGAGCAGTTGTGCATGGCAACCAATCATCTTTTAGCTTTCATTTCCAAAAGATGCTTAAAGATAGAAGTTGATTGGTTACCATGCACAGTTGCTCCAGATTCTGTCTGCAAATGTTTTAGTAAATGCCCACCAGTATCTTGTAAGATTTACATTTGAAAAAAGGTCTGCTTTTAGCACAAGAAAAACACATTATATGTTGCAAAAGCAATGCTTCTGAATGAGACATGTTCATAAAGATAATTCACTAAATATATGTGAATTGTTTAACCTGTAATAGGATTTGTATTTTTAATACAGTTTTGTAACTCAGATACCCCTACCAGTCAGTACAGCTAGAACCTGCACTCCACTCCCTAAGAACTCTTTGCAGGTATTGCATCTAAGCAGAACAGACTGGTCCAAGAACTGACTCAGCCTTTGATTGGACAATAAAGGAACAGCAGCACACTCATAATAAGTAGGTTGACAGATAGTACTCTCCAAAGCAACAGATCCTGACTAGCTGAGAGTGCTGCTGTGTAGGTTACCGAGACTAGACTCAACTTATGCTAGTTCCCTATCTGGTCCCCCTATGATAAAAGACTTGGTCTGTCCAAGTCTGGTTCTTTTTTTGTGATTTTCATTTGAAAAGAAACCTGTACTGAGAAAAAAAAAGTCAGGGTCAGCCAGTAACTTGCATTCTCTTAAGAATGCTGGTTACTGGCTGACCATGACTTCAATACAGTTACTACATCACTGCAGAGCAAGCAGGTTAGAAAGTCAAAGGGAAGTCAAGACTGCTGATCTGCATACAGCTGGGTAAATTGGAAAGTAATGAAGCCACTGGATCAGAGAGACGCACAGACATTTCAGTAATCATAATCTGCATACTTCCTCAATACAGGTTTGCTTTAACTAATAGCATGTTTTTGGCCAAGAGGTCTTTTCTGTGTAATTTTCAGGAGACCACCTTTGCTGTCACACTGTCCTCTTGTAGAGATCCAGAGGGTCTACACGGCAGCAGCTGAGTTCAAGATTGTTGTTGGACACTGTATATATTTAGCTCTCAATGCGTCTAAAAATGTCCGTCACAGGCTCGGTTAGGTGGGGCACAACCAGACTGCATCTTTGCACAATACAAATCGGCTACTAAGGTTTGTTACATGAACATCCATGGTGCAAAAAAAAACAACAGTTTTTTGTTATTTTTTTCTCTTGATCTCAAAGGACTTGCTGCTGGCGTACGTCATGAAAAATTTACAAGCACCACAGAAGCAAGTAAATTGCACACATTATTTCTAAAGTCTAATTTTGTTATGCAAGAGAAGGCTGATCTGTAAAAGCTGGAAGCATTTGGGCACATAGACTTATTCATAGAGGCACTGATGTAGGCACATTAAAGGTAATGGGTCATGCCAATAATGAAAACAAATTATATATGCCAACTGTACTAGTCCGTGTTAAATTGTAAAATAGACATCTTACACAGGCAAGCCCTGCTAAATCAAGCAAATGATACAACCAATGACATTCTGCTGGTATTGGAAATTACATATGTTGGGCACAGCCATAGAGAATCATGGACATTGTGGAAGTATGTCCTGAGCCAAGAATTGTGATGGCCATTATTTTCTGAGGCCTCCTCTGCCCCACCAGCTGCTTATACTTAATGCTCCATTTGACTGGGAAAGTGAGTGACACCTTCTTCTTCTGGTTTTGGGGGAAAAGCGAAACTCACCCCCCTCTTCCCATGCGAGAGCTATGATGCTCACCAATTGGCTGCTGAGGTAACCAGACTTGTTCTTAGCCCTGTGTAATCTCCAAGTTGCAGCTTAAAGCAAGGTTGTTTTGGTGCCTGGCAAGTGAATAAAAGGTAAGGGAAATGTATACCAAGGTTGCACAAATACCAGAAGCCAGCTCACCAATAGTCCTTAAAACTTACAGCTGGTGCCTAATGTTTGAGCTTTGCTCTGGTTGCTGTAAATTGAACCAACTGCTGGCTCCTGGATTGGACAGACTGGCTGGCTCCTGAATTCCATATTAATAAATTCACCTCTGATTTATGCAGAAGCAGGACAGCAATAAAGTAAACCTGCCAGAGCAAAGAATGCACAATGTAATACACAACGGCTAAAAGTTATAAAAACTTAAAAAATAAAATTGATCCAGGACCATGTTTTTTCTTTTTTCGTGTTAGGCGCATACAAGTATCCCCTACACATGAAAAATCTATGGGTTCTAACAAGTACTGCCTATTTAAATGCAGTGTATTTTATAAAATTGAACCAATTCAAAGTGTGCAGATATACAACTTTCAGGAGCTTAGTAGAATAATAATTACATACGCACCTGGGGCAGCCATGCTTGCTCATCACATATGCAGGCTCCACTTGCTACTCAACAGCAGTACACAGTGGTTGTGCCTTGGCGTTTGTTATCTCACTTGAATATACCCATAGACAGCCTTCCCCGTTTTGGGCCAGATTAGGCAATGATGCAGGTTGGGAAACCTTGACCAAAGTTTTCTTCCCCCCGATAAGCTGGCATTGAAGATCCATGCAGAACACCCCCACTAGTCCTCCCTCCATCTTAATAAGCAAAAAAAACACTCTGCAGTCTCTGACGACTTGAAAACACACATACAGTTGAATGATCTGAAGTGTGAATTTAAGGATAGACCTATTTTTCTTAAAAATATAAGAAAAAAAAGAAAGAAAATTAACAAATCAGAGGAGAAAATTACATTCATGACAGTGTTATGCATATAAAAAGAAGGGTATTGTGTTCATTTTCCCAGCACATAATGAATGAAAGGAAACAAGCCTATGCTTGTTCGCCTATCAGACACATGGTTGTGATTTTATTTTA